CAACAACAAAAATCCAGTTTGAAATCTAAAGGATCTTGTCTGGACATTTATATTGCCAAGAATAAGGATCTAAACAGCATATGTACTTATCATATAAACGTGATTAACAAGAGCTCCTCTCCTTTAAACAGCGCATTTCAATTCTTAAAGGAATGTTTCTTTAAAATGCTGTCACATGGTAGCACTTAAGCCAGAAGACACCCTGTTGCTACCAAGTCTTCCAGAAGCACCATTTGGATCACGTGACAGCTGTTCTGAGTTCACTGATTTCACGGTGGACCTAAGACTTTTTCTATCAAGGCTGGATACTCCATCCCATCTTTCAAGTGCTTCCATAATTGTCCAGCCCTGTGCCGGACTTTCTAAACCAGGATCCCCATGGATTCTGGGATCACACACAAGATTCCGTATTTGAAACAACCCAGACGAGTCAAAGGAATTTTTAAGTTCTCTTAGTCTATCTTGACCTACACTGACCGCTCCCTCGTCTAAACAGCCGTAGCGTTTTTAACCTGTATTCCACGGATTAACACTGGATTCCACACTTGACTGTTTTGTAATGGAGCTTTCACTCACTGAATGCCACTCACTTTGCATTCATTTTCCAACTCAGTTCTCCCCAAAATCATGAAAGGTAGGTACCACCTCCTACTTTCAGAGCTGAGGAAAGCGAGGCTTGGAGGGTTTAAGTCTCTGCTCACATTCAGCCAGCCAGTAACTGTCAGAGCCGAGATTTGACTATGTGTCTCTTTGGCTTCAGAATTCACATTATTTTTCTAATTCATCATTTGTCTCTCCCAAAGGAAAGCAGGAAAAAAGCTGTTTTGAAGATGCTCCAAATGCATCATTTACTAATTGTGTGCAGGCACATACACATACACACGCACGCGTGCATGCATGCGTGTATATCCTATTCCTCCAAATGGATTTCAACGTTTTGATGGTAGCAAATATGTCTTAGACTTGTTGTGTACCTCGGGTGCTACTGGCACTAGAAGCCCCATGTGGCTTTTCAGATCATAACCAGCGATGTCATACTTGAAGAAATGAGGGTAACACTGTTCACTGAGCACTTAGTAAGTCTCAGATGCTCTCCGTGTAAATGACTGGATTCTCATAACAACACTGTGAGATAAACACAGTGCCTATTTTACAGATAAGAAAATAAAGGCTCTGAGTGGTCAAGTAATTTGCCCAAGGTTACATAGTCCCACCTTTCTGATTCTGACTGTTACGCAAACTCGCCATCCCCAAGATTTTTTAAGATAATCTACTCCAATCTTTTCACTCAACAGAGGAGGAAAAAGAAACCCAAACAGAGTAAATAACTTTTGTGAGGTCACAGAGCAAATGGTATTCCAGTTAACCCTGAACAATCAAGGGCACAGTTAGGCCATATAACTGGATTTAAACATTTTCTGGCAAGCGCAACATAATTTGAAATTAATTTTCTCAAAGGTTATTTTTGTTTTTGTTTATAATAAGAACTACTTTAGCAATCCAGACTATAAATCAAAATAATGCATAGTTTCATACTGACAGCCTGTTAGGGGAAAAATTCATTTCTGATGTTCGTAATTGCAAACTTCAAAATGTGTTTCTTTAAAAGCTTTTCAATTAAAAGAGAAGAAAGCGAGCTTAGGGTTAGTTAGTGGGAATATCAGCATTTTCTGGTGTTTCCCTTTGTTTGTTTTCCAACATTTTCACAAGAGTGGTTTTATAGCCAAAGCTTATTCTAATTTAAAGAAAAGAAAACAAAGACTTTCATTTTGTTTCCTACTAGAAATAAGTTCCTTCATGAGAATGTAAGCTACCAGAGGGCAGCAGTCTGCTCACTGATATTTTTTCAATGCCTAAAACGTAGCACACACACACACACACCCAAAAAATTAGCACAAAGAAAGTGATTAAAACCACTGCTGAATGAGTGACTCTCCCCTTTTTCACTTCCATATAATCTGTTCTTTCAGATTGGGTGGAAGAAAGGAAAGACAAGGTTTACAGGAGACTTGGTTCTTAGCTTCTCTTAACCTCACTGTTTTTATGATCTACTAAAGAAATAAAAGTCAGACAATGGTGAAAAAACAGTGAGACTGAAATAAATGAATAGATGAATGCCCAGTGGTCCTGACTTTTATTTTCAATGGAAAGAGCCAGAATTTCAAAGAGGAACCAACACATCCCTTATAGATGCCAAAGATAAGGAAAGATAAAGCATGTGAAGTTTAGAAGCCTCCCCAGACTGGATGGCACAGAAAGATGCAGAAGTGGACATGTTAGTGTCCCAATCCTCTGAGCATAAATGACGGAAGGAGGACGGACCACTCATCAGACGCTGTTGTGTGAACCGCGGTGGTGGTGATGGTGGCGGGGAAGAGTGTACCGGCCTTTTTAAATTTAATCCTCGCTCATTTCCATGGCACGGGTACTATTACCGTTTGCATTTCACAAATGAGGAAACTGAGGCTCATGGAGGTGGATTGGGACTCAGAGTGGGATCTGTCTGACTCTAAGCTTTTAACCCTGCATCAGTGTTCCTCCAACTTCAGTCGTTTGCTGACCTCCGGTATAGTTCTGCCACGTTGTACGCACCATCTGTGGCAGCCGTGGCCGTGTGCTGGTCAGATTTCCCTGCAAGAAAGGCAGGCTTCGATTGTCGCGCCTTCAGCATCCGCTACCGCTGAGATCTCCTCGCTGCTCCCCGGAAACGACTGAGCACAGAGGGTGCTGGGCTGGTCCTGCCCAATGCAGGACTCCCCCCGGGGGCATGCTCTGCTCTGGGGGATACCTCCTGCCCGGCTCAGCACCACCGCCACCCTGAGGTCTTTCCAACCCTCTCCTCCTTCCCTCTCTCCCTGCCCAGAGGTGTCAGCCCCTCGCTGTGGTCTGCAGCCTCTCGCCACCCTCTCCTGCCCCCTTCCCTTTATCCTCCACAGTCGGTTTCCTCTGATAAATCTCCTGCACGTCAATTCTGTCTTAGTGTCCGCTTCCTGGAGGACCCCGATTTACCGTTATTTACTTATGATCTGTACCACTAATTACATAACACTTTCCTTTTAATTGGATTACCTTTTTAAACTAAATCCATATAGTCTCACCTTGACCAAAATATATGTTAAATCTTGACTTTAAGGTGCTACTTTCATTTTTCCTAATACACTTTGAATATACGTATATACGGCTGTTTAAGTAAAAATATTTGAATATGAGTCAGTTAAGTCTCTCCCTTGCCACCAATATATGGATGTAACTTTCTTGGAAATTCTTCCCTTCATTATATTGCTGATAAAATATTTTTGTACAAAAAGACTGGTGAAGAAGGGGGATTAGAACAGAATATGCCAAGTGACATCATCCCAAGTTTTCATATTAAGAGTTTGTGTTCTGGGCAGAACCTAGAAGGGAGATTTCTGTACAACAGAAAACAAACAGGAGAAAATTTCAGAAATCCAGCTGGATTCTGGACAAGAGCATAAACTAACAAACAGCACAGTGGCATCTGTATTTATCACCTTCCTTGCATTGCGTGCCAAGTGGCATGGATGTTTTGTTGAAACGGCTAAGTTAGATTTTCCCAGCTCTATCTTACACCTGCCCCCACCACCGCCCCCCTGCCCCATCCCTGACTTCTCGCTCATCTCTTGGCCACATTTAAAACAGGCAAGAGTTCTGCACCTGTCTGGCAGCTACGGTTTGCTCAGCAATGAGATCAGGGAATAGCTCTCAGAATTACTCAGCCCCACCCACCTCATTTCCTTACTCAGCACCTTAATTCTCAAGGGAAAAGAATTCAGACAGCGGTTTGAATTTTCCTCTCACAGAGCACCTCGTGGGCTTGCCCTGGTGGTGAACTGGTTGACAACCAAGGAGATGGAGACCTTGGAGCTGCTGATGGCTGCTTCCATCTGGCTGGGGTAGGAGGGGCAGAGAGCCCAGAGGCGGTTCATCTCGCCAGGCTGGGAGAGCTCAGAGAAAGCCAGGAGGAAACCAGAGTAACCCACATTTTATTAGTTTCGTTTGTTTGTTCTGGAACTAAAAATATATTCACAAGTCTTAAATCTAAGGAAGACTGAAGATACAAGAATGGCCAAAGATGTACCGTGAGCAAAACAACGTTGATGTTAAATACACTAACAGCCTCAAGCTGTTAAAGGGACAGAGAGAAATATTGTACCGTGATGAAAGGAACAATCTACACAACGATCCAATTTTTAGGAAACGGGCAAAACTTATGAATAAACAATTCACAGAAAAACATTAATGGTTCTTAACACAGATAAAAAAAGGCACCCTACCTCATTCACAAACTATACATAATTTAAAATTACACTTGAGTACCATTTTTCACTCTATAAGACTGGCGAGGGGCTTCCCTGGTGGCGCAGTGGTTGGGAGTCCGCCTGCCGATGCAGGGGACGCGGGTTTGAGCCCTGGTCCGGGAGGATCCCACATGCCGCGGAGCGGCTGGGCCCGTGAGCCATGGCCGCTGAGCCTGCGCGTCCGGAGCCTGTGCTCCGCAATGGGAGAGGCCACAACAGGGAGAGGCCCGCATACCGCAAAAAAATAAAAAATAAAAAAATAAAAAAATAAGACTGGCGAGTATTAAGAAGTTTGATAAAACGCTGTTGTCAAGGCTGTAGGATAATGTGCTCCCTTATACTGCTGGTGGGGGCATAACCTTTATGTAACCCACCATTTTAGAAAGAAAATGAAATCACGAAATACCATAAACCTCTGTCATGAACCGGATTAATTCCAAGAATAAAAAATTCTACTTGTTCACTTTCCTTTTCTTTCCCACAGAACACATGCTTCTGACACGATAGGTATTTCATTTTTCCCGGGGGTTAGCTACAAGTCTTCAACTCAATGGCAAGTTGAGTCATTCTGGAGAACAAGAAACTCCATGCATTGCTGAATACATCAGTTGGCCCAGTAGAAACCATATCTCAAGTCATCCTAGCCCCAAGGACTCTCCAAATCTTGAAACCAGGACTTACCTTTTTCCAGAACAGTTTGCCCAGAGGCAGAGAGGTGGGGCCCCCCTTTTCCTTGGCACCTTCCTTTGCTGTTTCAGTGGATGTAGAATTCTTGGCAGCCCCTTGGGGCTCCTGGGGCGTAACATTGCCTTTGTCTGACTTGAGGTCGGCTGAAACGGCGGGTGACTTTTCGGCACCCTATAAGAGTTCAAAAAAATTAAAATGATCTCAGGATTTCAAAAGCAAAAGATCTCTTTTTTACAAATATGGACTGGGGTTATGCAAATTAAGTGTCTTCTTCATAATTTTCTGTATTTTCCAAATATTCTACATGGATGTGGATTTGTGTTAAAATCTTGGAAAAAGATCAAGATATATCCCTTTTGCAGAAAAAAAAAATATAGAACCATTATGTAACATGTTTATGTAAGTAACGCATTAGGACTCAAAGTGATTGGAAGAGGCACTTGGCTGTTAGAATGTTAGGTAGTGTCGAGGACCCTGGTCTTCTTTCGACCATGGTCATGGCAGTAAAGATAGTCTGAACATGCACCTCCAATACACACGTATTTGTTTACATGATAAAGATGTATTGTTTTACTAATCCAAATTTGAAATGAAAGATGGGTTCCAATAAAAAGACTTCAAAAGAGAAGTGCTGAAGTTTTCCTCTCACACTCTGCTTTAGAGATTACTATAGTGATCTATAGTCTACAAAGTTTAGTCTATAAAGATCTATAGATCTACAGTCTATAGAGTTTGTGTAAGGAACTCAGGGAAGAGGTTTGAGTTTGAAGAGCATCCACAACCCCCATTTCTTCACTTTTAGATGCAGCCTCCACATCTAAATTAGATGTGACTGGATGGATTGTAATTGATGTAAAACTCCAAATGCTATTCACTCAGTCCCTATTCTCTTTCTCTCCCCCACCTTCTCTCCAAGCCACCGCCCCCTATCTCTCCACACTCTGAGTGGCCAGGCTGAGGTCCACTTCCGGGACATCTGATCTCTTCAGTGACTGGGCTGTTACTTCCATGCTCTGCCACCTCCTGACTCATGGGACAAAGGAAGAGTTAGGAGAATTACAGTCTCCATTTATCTCGACGTGAGTGAACATTGCATTAAAAATTTTAACACTGGGCTCACCTGACCTAACCTCGTCATCTTAAGCATCTTCAGTTTAATGATCCTTGGTCCAGGGACTTGTGACACAACCCTTTAAATTCCCAGGGAGGTCAGATCTTTGACTACATTTTCTGAATAAAAGAAAAAAAAAATCTGGCAGTAAAAACAGGGTGTGGAAAAATTCAGGACGTTTCAGAGTATTTCTGACGTTGGAAAGAGTCTTAGAGACCACCTAATCGAATGCCCGAATTTTCATGGATGGGGAAATTGAGATCTACGATTTGCCCTACACTAACCAGGGGCACAGTCTGGTCTCAGATCCAGACTTCCGGCTCCTATCTGGCGCTCTTTCCACACCGCACGTTGCCCCTCCAAAGGGAGTTCACAAGTAATGTGAACTTTACTATCTGATGTAAGACAATATCTTCTGTGCTGACTTTTTTGATACTAAGACGGAGTCATTTATTGAACAGATTCTATGTTCGAATCAGGAGCTACAGGGCCAATGTATAGAAATGACTTTTGTGATAGGTGATCCTGGAATAATCCCAGTTCCATTTAAAAATGTATAAAACCGCATAATGCTAGGGTTTAAAATAACCTCTGCCTTGTATCAACAGTGCAATCAAAATGGCTGAGCTCAGACAGTTCTGCATTTATGCATGTTCCAAATGGTCTCGGACACCTGGTGCTGTTTTAGCTCTAAATGGTAATTACATTAACAAGCACTGGTTGAAGGGGAAGTGCCCTCCACCAACTAGCTTGCTTGCTTTTCCAGAAAACAGGAGGAAAGTATTATGATTTATTCATTTACTCATAAAAAATGCATCGACTGCCTTCTATGACCTGCGATGGGTACTGAGTGCTGGGGTTACATGTCCTAATAGAGAGAGAGAGAGAGACACCAAACAAATAATTCCACAAATGTATGTGAAATTTCAACTATGATAAGTGCTGTGGGGTGGAGAGAAGGATTTGGTGCAAAAAAAAAAAAAAGGCTAAACTAGGAAATTAGATCCATCATGGCAATCAGGAAGGCTTGATAGAGAAAGGGATGCTGTGCCATGACCTGAAGGGTGACTAGAAATTAGCTGCAGGAGGGAAGAGAAGCACACCAGGCACAGCGAACAGCGTGCTCTCAGCGCCCTCGGAAAGCATCAGAGAGCCGTGATGGAAGCAGGAAGGAAAGGAGTGGCCACGCGTGGTCCCCAACATCAACTCCCCTTCTGCTTTCTTGGGAAAATCCCCACTTGCTCAAGGGGTTCATGTTAGGCCAAGAATCCAGGGTGGGGGGTGAGGCTGACCTCACTTCTATCTCTAAGAAAGGGTTCTTGCTGGCTTAAGTAAACCATCCATTCTGCTCATGTCATTACAGTAGATGCTCCATTGCTCCACACTGCTTTGATTTAAATTCTGCTGCTTTGATTTCTATACTTAGAGATGCCGTGTTACCCTGACCAGCTCCTGGATACCCCTTCGTATGTGCTCAGCCTACTCAGCCAAAGCCACATGGCGGTTACCAAAAAAAGCTAGTTCTGGAGTTCTAGATTTCTAGACACGACAGGTCTAGTTTGCTTAGCCCATCACACGCCTCTGGTTTGGCTGGTTTTACCCTTTCCTTCTGTTCCCCTCAGCCTCCTTTCTCTCTCAGCCTCTTGAATAGGGACTAGGGTCCAAGGAGACTAGGCAGAGAGATGGCCAACTTTTAACTCTGATTTAATAGTAACAATAAAAGGTACCAGTGCCAGGCACCGTTTTAAGCAATTGAATGTTCTAACAACAGTCCTATGAGGAAGGAACTAATTGTTATGTCCATTTTATTGTTAGGGAAATTTTGGTCCCAGGTGGTTTAGTAACTTGCCTGTGATTGCACTTATAAGGCGACAGGGTTGGCATCTGAATCCAGGGAGTCTGATACCCAAACCCAGACTCTGAATAGCTACTCTGTCTACACTGCTTCCAACAGACCAAGGTCTCCCCACTCCATGTGCTGTTGTGCCCATCAGGGGATGGAACCGTCTACGCCATATGCATTCTCAGCCACGGCAATCTTAACTCCACGTGGGGGAAAGTTGGGGGGTGAGATTGCCCTTGTTCTTGGGGCGGTGTGTTATGGGCAATTTTTAGATGTTTATATTGCCTATGGCCCTACTAAGGGCCACAGTACATCAACAGATAAACAGTGTAGCTGTTGTACCAAAATTCCACGGGGAGAAGGGCAATTAGGGAGAAAATATCTAAAGAAGCTTCACGGTGGGGGGGGTGATAATGGGAAAAAGGTTGAGAAACACATCTATACTGATCAGTTTTGTTGGGAAATGGCCAATTCTCTTTGCCCTGGGAAGATACCCTGAGATCTTCGAAAAACATGACAAGGACATGACTCTATCATATGTATAGTAATAAAATATAACGAGTATATCTGTGTAACTGTTGAGTATGCATCTCTCTGACCAGAGTATGAGTTCTGTGAAGGTAAGAGCTGTAATGTCTTAGTCACCATTACACTCCTACCTCCCATCAGACCCAGTGTCTGGCTCAAAACAGGCATTAAATAAATAACAAATTAATTTTACGAGAGGGGCCACAGAGAGCTACCCACATAGCACCCTGCCATGTCATGTTTCCGTCCACCCACCCACTCCTTACAGGGCTGTGGAGTCACACACACCCATTAGTCATCCTCTCCCTGCCTACTCATCTCCTCGCTTCCCAGAGAAGTGCCCCAAATGGTGTTCTGCCAGCATCAACTGAATTCATACTCTTTGTCTGCATTACGGAGGAGACTACGAAAATTCTATCCATGTTTTTTGGAGACAATCCCCTGAGTAGGGTTGCCAGATTTAGCAAATAACAGTGAGACTACAGGATGTCCTGTTAAATCTGAATTTCAGATCAACAAAGAATATTTTTTTTGGCTAAGGATGTCCCGAGTATTGCCTGGGACATACTTAGATTTATACTCAAAAATTATTTGCTGTGTATCTGAAATTTGAATTTAACTGGGTACTTGTTATTTATCTGGCAACCCTACCCATGAAATTCTAATGTATTAGATGTGGAGATTGCATATCAGATGACCTTACCTTCTTCCACAAGAAGTTTTCATAATTTTCACATTTGAGTGTGGGAGAGGGGACGTGTTAGTAAGATGGAAACATTGTACCAAGAACCAAAAAACAATGAATGTGTGGCATAAGCTTATGAACCCTATGAGGTAGCTGCTAATATTTTAGCTGCCTTATGGAGAGGGTGGGCATTGAGCAAACCTGAGTGGGGAGGGGAACATTTCTGGGCGTGGCAAAGACATTCTAAAACAATGTCCTGCTTTGTGTGCATGTGTCATGTCCAACATTTGCAGGTCGTGTGAAAAGGTTTTATTCTGAGGAACGGCATGTGATTAAGCCAAGAAAAAAAAAATTCAGATTCAGCAAAGAAACGCTGACCCCCTTATTATTTATAACAATAAACTTATTTCATTGATTAATGTCAGCCTTCCCTCCTCTTTGGAACTACGCAAATTCTTTTTATAGGAAGGAAAATTGACATACAAAGAAATGAAACGAGAAGTTAACCAGAATTGGTAACCACTGTACATTTTTTTTAATAGCAAAACTAGAAGGTAACGTTTTATCCTTGAATTTGCTTGGATGTCTTTTTTCTGTCTTAGGTCACACTGAAATCAAGGAGGATGAGTATCACACCTCCCATAATCATGCAACAAGGTTCACTGATGGACTCTGGCTGGTCAATTTTAATGGCCCTGTTTTCCTATCTTTTTGGACGACAGAACAACCAATTGAGGAAAAGAAAAACACTGTCCTAGGCATGAAGGTAAAAGCCAATAAGATCTACCACACTGCTGTATAAATGAGAATTAAGAACATCTGGGAACTGTCCCCTTACTTTACTCTGACGTAAAAAAACAGACCGAATGTAACTCAAGGCAAAACCTTAGTCTGTGTTCCAGTATCCCAGAAAGGGTCGTTTCTTCTCCATCGTCCCAGTGGTTTTAGAATCCTCTCCTACCCCCAAAGTCAACTCAGTTGGCAGGATGTGAAGCCAACAATTCGGGGAAGCCCCAGGAATACTGAACTTGGGTGGTCCACTTGTGGGAGGGGAGAGATTCTGGAGGCACGAAATGAATGTCGTGATGAAATGCAGATCTGTGGGGGTCAGGGGAGGGGGAGTCATAGTGTCTTAAACTTTCAAGGCCCCCTACTCACCGAAGCATCCGTGGGAATTCAGCTAGATTCCTTTGTACCAGATCCATAACACATTTCACTAGCAGTTACCAAATTGTCGCCCACATACAGTGGTACCTCCCCCATTGCCGTGTCTCTCATCCACCCCCTTGTCTCGTTACAGGACAAAATAACCCCGTATGGAAATCGAAGGGTGGTTTCATAACATAGTTTGTTTATGCAAATATAGATTCCGCTGGGAGGGCTTTCTATGGAGCTTTTATTTGCATACACAATCCTGGGACTATTACATCCAGCTGGGGAAGTTTTTCAAATAAGTTCATTCAACTTAGTGGAGAATGGTCGATATTTTAAACAAATTTACAAGCATGCTGGCCCAAGGCAGGGATCCTTTTAATTGATGGTTTCAGACAAATACTGGCATTTTCGTAGACATTAGAAGAGTGAAATCTCCGAAACTCACTTCTCTGTTGTCTTTACTTCCCAAGAACGTGGAGACAGAACTTGCTCTGCCTTCATTCATTGTTTTGTTCTGCCTGGGCTTCCATTTGGGCTCAGTATAAGTTTAGTTAATACAGGGAAGAGATGGAACGGACCACAGGAAGATAGAATTGTTATCTTGAGGTTAGAAGAGCATTTCCCAAAGTATAGCAAGCATACCATAGGTGGGATCAGAGATGGCCTTAGATTGTGCTATGATATTAAATAATATTAAAATCGTGAAAATACTTTTCCTTTTTCAGTTCTCATCTTTCTAAGACCATTGGGGGAAAATCTCAGTCTGGTGCCGGTAGAGAAATCTTTAACATTTCCCTACTGCTGGCTAATTGCCTTTTCATAAAGCTAGAAATGACAATAGATTCAGAGCTTAACACAAGCGAGACAGCTAGAATGTAATCTCTTTTTTTATTGCCCATATAATGCCCATATAATGGCACATTCCTCTTAAGAAAAATGATCTGCTTTTCCAAGTGTGATGTAATACGAAGTTTCTTTTACAGATATCTTTACATAGGAAATGAGTCAATTTCAATATAAAAATATCAAGTAAATAGTGGTATATCTGCCAAAAACGATGAAGGTGGTATGCAAACATTCAACATTTGGGGAACACTAGGTTAGAAGAATAATCTCAGAACCCTGGTCCACACTACGAAAGTAGTCTGAGATGTTTACAATTATGGGGACTTAAAATCTCTGAAATTTGATTCACATAGTACTTAATTCCCCTCTAATGATTTCTACCACCCAAGGCTCTGTCTTCACTGAAGTGGAGCTGGCTGGATACAGGATGGGCACATGTGTCATGTGGTGAAGACCAGGGTTCTTATTTTTCCTCCTATTTTAACAAGATACAGACCTTATGCCTAAAGAATTTTCTAAAGGCGAGTCCTAGCCTGGGGCTATGCAGATGCTTTTTCTTGGTGCCTTTAGCCTGGATCTCGGATGTCTTCTGCCCAGCTTGTCCATCACAGACACTTTCTGCTTTAGATGCCTTTTGGGCAACAGCAGTCACAGCTTAGAACTTTGTTTTTGAACAGAATGCATTTTTTTTTCTGTTGTTTTTAAGTGCAGTAATCCACTTTGTCAGTTAGCTGCCGGTATATCACCCCCATCTCCCAATCACAAGACATCATGTGAATGCTTATCTTTTTCAAACTCTCAAAGACGATTCGTTAAAGTGCAAATTCACAGTCTATTTCAGGTACATGTTGATTTTCAACACGGGCAACCTATTTAAATGACCCAGATTAATGCAGCTCCATTTGCTAAAGACAATGACAAGATATTTAAGCTTTGTCTACAGGACATGTAATATCCAGGTGAAAAAAATTAAAAAGTAAAAAAGATAACGCAGTCCCTACCCGATGATTTTTAAAAATCTAAATGCTATTGCCACGTGAAATGGAAAAAAAACACCTGAAGACAAGTAAATTTATTTTTGCATCCTGGAGTCAAGTACTGCCACTAAATGCCTTTCATTCTCAAACTGATCTCCTCTTTTGCAGTATTAGAAACTCCAGGGAAGCGGTATCACCCACAAAAATTTCTGCTGACTTCTAGATGGGTAGATCTCCTGGGCAAAAGATGTTTCTAGAGTGAGTCAGTCCACTGAGCCAAAGTGAGGGGAAATTAGAACTAAAATAGCCCAGCTACAACCATTCAGAATTGTTGACTCAAGTCACAAATGGCAGGGGATTTTCTGTGGGCAGCAGTGGAGTGTGCTAAAAATTGCCCAGGGCCAAATGAGAAGATGGACAAAAGTGTTGACATTTCAAAAGCATGAATCCAAGAACTTCAGTGGAAAAGATGTCAAGAAGGCAAGTATGAGAACCAGGTTGGTAGAAAGAGGTCTGTTTGTGGGCATCACGGACAACCTACATTCACAAAACCCACTTCTGAGATCCAGTTCCATCAGCAATGAGCACATAGCTCTCTGGGCAGGGCCATGAGATTTTACCACTAGGTACTTTCAGCTGGGACCATATTCTGGGTGGGGGAAGAGCCTTGATGCGTGAGAAGCTAAAGGGAGTGAGGGCATCAGGTCACTCGGGAAGCCACACAACACACCCACATACCCCACTGTTTATAGCCTATTGTGCTGACTATGTGATTTCCAACAATGCAGGACACAGAACCCAAAGAGAAACATTTGGACCCAACCATTCATTGAACTTGACCCTAGTTGCCTTGTAGCAAATAAATAACCTTATGGGAAAATGCACGTATATACCTCAGATATATCTTTTTTCAATGGAAGAAGAAAATTCTAGAGGAACCAATCAGAATACAGATGTAATCCTGATGTTCAGTCTGTCCTGCTGTGATTATGGAAATAGGGATCACCTACATTTGAACAGAGCTCCAGGGTTTACCAGGCACTGTCACCCCTTCATTCAGTCCTGGGGTTGGGGAGGCAGAATTTTTATTGCCCCAGTTTTACAGATGTGGAAATTCAGACAGGTTAGGATCACCCAGCTATCAAGTAGCAGGACTCCAGCTCGAACACAGGTCTTCTGAGACAAATTCCAGGATCCTTTTCACAACTTAGCCCCTTCAAATACGGGGAGCAGATGCACTGGGTTGGCCAAGCCATTTGTTTGGTCCCCGTGCCTTTCAAAGCACTTTCAGTTATCAAAAGGAGGACACAAGACATTTATCTGTCACCAAGTTAAATTTCCCTCATGATTCCCGTGAAATTTAAACCGCGTGTTCTACGAAAGGAAGTCGGTTCTCTCAAGTGCAAAGGGAAAACATCTCTAGAAAGTAGTCATTCCAAACAAAATGTACTTTGAGGGGAACTGGCTGAATTTCTAGGATGACAGCGAAAAAGCACACACTCACTAGGGCACCCTAACCCGTCTATATGTTCCTTCGTTTGGCAAGTGTCGACTGGTGACTATTTCATGCCACCAAGCAACTGCCGTTGCAGTGCAGACTAATTTTTTTTCAAATTACATGAAAAACAAAGCAAGACATATTTTTTAAAAACCAAAATCTAGCAGCTCACATCTGCTTTAAATTGAGTCTCATGACTTCCGCATTTCCAGTGGCTAACTTTTACCATATTCCCTGGGTCTCTCTACACACAACGAAAAAGACTAAGATGATATATGATAATTAGTATTCTGTTCTTATTCTGTATAAGAAATTGGTTTTTATGACATTATTTAGCCAGAATTGGCACATATTTCAAGCTTCCCACCAAAATTTTCATTAAAATACCATTAACGTAAGTGGAACATTTTAAAGACAATCTAACAGCACCATTAAATTGCTAAATATGTATATATGTGTGTATGTATATCACACGCACACAAAATTCAAAAGACAAAGACGCATACGTAAATCCAAATCCAATTCTACACACAAACCCAAACCCAAACACACTTCAAATGACCTACCGTGTCTTCCAGATCTTTTTTTGTTTCAGCTTTGTTAGGCGAAACCTTAAAAGTTTGAGAAAAACCAAATGTTAAAAACCATAGCTCTGTAGGGTGTTTTCTCTTTCTTTCTTTCTTTTTATTTTAGTTCCCCGACCAGGGACTGAACCTGGGCCCCGGCAGTGAAAGTGCCAAGTCCTAACCACTGCACCACCAGGGAATTCCCTATTTCATATTTTTATTTAGGGTGGTCCACTTCACTCTACAAGTAAGGAATGTAATGAGAAGTCCTTTCAATTTAGTAGAAACCCATGGACTTCTGGGTAATACCTAAGTATACATAAGTTAACAAAATGAATAGTTCATAATGAAATGCATCAGATCTTATACATTCACTAAGAGCTTGACCACATTCAAAACTGTCTCCTGGATGGCTACACACTTTCCAACAAGTCCACCACTAATCCAAACAAATGTACAACCCTTTGGTGTTTGTGGCGCATTCGGTTGACTTTTCTGTTTTATCTTTTGAAGTTGGTCTTGGCCTTTGGGAATAGCCCGAACACTTGGAGCTGTCTGTTTAATTATGCATTCACTCATTCAGCCCTTTTTTTTTTTTTTTTGCGGTACACAGGCCTCTCACTGTTGGGGCCTCTCCCGTTGCAGAGCACAGGCTCCGGACGCACAGGCTCAGCGGCCATGGCTCACGGGCCCAGCCGCTCCCGCGGCATGTGGGATCTTCCCAGACCGGGGCACGAACCCGCGTCCCCTGCATCGGCAGGCGGACTCTTTAACCACTGTGCCACCAGGGAAGCCCTTCAGCCCTTTTTTTGAGTGTCTGGCAGGTGCCAAGCTGTGGGGTCTGAAGAGTCAGACAGGAGCAAGCAATGCAAGATGTGGGTCCCTGCCTCCACCCAGTCAAATGGGAGCTTTAGATGTAACAAGATAGAAAGTGATTTCTACAGTTTTATTGGCCATTTGAGTAGCAAAAATGCTTTGATAGGTCAGCAACTCAAGGGAGTATTTTCCAATTATTTTTATGATCAATGACCATAAGATATCCAATTGCGGTAGCATTCTATTACCACATAGCTCATGTTGTATAGTTAATCTCACAGTTCGCAGCAACTAAAGACTCCTTCACTGAAAGCCAAGTCCCTTACGAAGCACACCTTGTCCCTGTTCTCCAACGTCCCAGCTGCATCAAGCCATTTAGAGCAGTAACATTCAAGTATGCATCATTCTTAGATCTAACAAAACTTTTGAGCAATAAAATTGAGGAATAGAATAGAAAAGGAGATGAAACTGCTTACCAGAGTTTTAAAGAAGCTCATGATGGAATTATTATTCTCTGTCTGGGGGTCCTCCTTTGCAATCTCCAGTTCTTCAGGGACCCCGGGGACAGAGCAACTCACAGTTGGGATTTCCTGTCCTTCTTTTACCGTGCCGTCAGCTATGTCCTAGGAACAAGACAGAGTTTTCATGGTTGCAACTTGTTGGATGTGGACTCTCAAAGTAATATTTTTGCTTCGCGCCCTTGTCTCCCTTACCCCCTAATTCCAGCCATACTTCTTCTGCCCACGGGGGTGTAGAACAATCAGGAGCTTATGAGAGTCACTCTTCCCTCCCCGCCCCCTCTTTCTAACATAATCAGCATTTGCAGTTAGTTGGAGGGACATTGTTTGGAGCCAGAGGCTAACAAACACAGCAGTGCACGTTGCATCCCAAACAAAAACCCTTTTCTCCCAATTCTGCACAGAGGTTATGTATGATGCCAATATTTTGTGGTCTTCCAGTTTAATCATGGAAGATGCCTCTATTTGATTTCCCACAATCACCGCAGTGGTGGATTGTATCAACTGAAAAAAAAGTACTGACATTTTAAAATAATAATTCCGCTTTCAGGATCTGGGAGCTAACTGTGCGAAGGATGTGCTATTGGGACGGATTTTCCTCTCTAACTCACCCAGGAGGGTGGGATGCATGCTGAATATCCTCCTTTTTGCACGTTCACTCCCATGACCTTGGGCCAAGCCAGGTTACCTCAAACCCATTCATTCTTCAGGCTCGGGCTCAAGTTTACTTTCTCCACTGAAGTCTTTCTAGGTCACAGCACCCATGGAACCTACTCCCTTCTCTGAGTTTCTAGACCACCTCCTCCCGCACACTCACTTGGCACGTGGGTTACCCTAATGCCAAGGACTGGGCCAGAACAGCCTGCATTAGAAACGGGGTTATTGTGGAACAGTGATAAAAATGCATAAACACACTTTGGTGAATATTTTATTTATTTTTTATTTTTTTGCGGTCCGCGGGCCTCTCACTGCTGTGGCCTCTCCCATTGCGGAGCACAGGCTCCGGACGCGCAGGCTCAGCGGCCATGGCTCACGGGCCCAGCCGCTCCGCGGCATGTGGGATCCTCCCGGACTGGGGCACGAACCCGTGTCCCCTGCATTGGCAGGCGGACTCTCAACCACTGCGCCACCAGGGAAGCCCACTTTGGTGAATATTTTAAAAAGTAATAATAATGCTTGTATCCCACAGGGTTTCCCTCAGCCCCAGCACTCCCTCTAAATGGAGGAGTGCATCTTGTGAAATGCCTCTTAAAGGGCTGGAACTTCATAAAGCCCAACGCAGAGAGAAGCCATGGCCTTAACAAGCTTCTCGGCTTTTCTAGTTAATTCCAGGCAAAACGTGTTTTACTTGGGAAGAGATGAACTTTTAAACAGGTTCTAAAATAACTTACTGTGCATATTAGAACAGAACTCTAATGAGTGGAACTTTTTATAGTTCCTAGGTATAATTCGGATCCAGGTTGTTAAGTAGGTTGATAAGGAGGATGGCTGAACATTTTGTTTATAGCAGATGAGTGTGGTATACCTACAGGGGTGGTGAGTTTACTTTAGGTGGTGCACACACATGCACACATACATGTGCACATACACGCACGAGGTTATTCTTTATAAGTGCTTTTTGGAAAGATATTTCTTTGGTACAATGGATATTTTTGCTTGGGCGAAGCTGAGTAGAAAATTTTTAGATAGAATGTTAAATTAAAAATATTACATGGGCTTCCCTGGTGGCTCAGTGGTTGAGAGTCCGCCTGCCGATGCAGGGGACACGGGTTCGTGCCCCGG